CACTCCCCTTTCGGTCGGGCACCACCTCTCCCCACCCTCCTCTCCCTCCCCCTCCTCCCATCCTTATCCTGAACTCATCGGCTCTCTCATGTACGCCATGGTCTCTACTCGCCCTGACCTTGCCTACCCCATCAGCGTCCTCGCTCGCTTCGTTGGCGCTGGCAAGCATACGGAGGAGCACTGGCAGGCCGCCAAGCGCGTTCTTCGCTACATTCGTGGCACCAAGGACTATGTCCTTACCCTTGGCGGCCCTTCCCCACCCCTCCTCCACGGCTACAGCGACTCTTCCTGGGCTGACTCTCGACCGGATCGGCGGTCCTCTCAGGGTTATGGCTTCTCTCTGGGCAGCGGCCTCATCAGCTGGCGGTCCACACGCTCCTCTGCCGTCGCCCTCTCCTCCTGCGAGGCAGAGCTCTACGCTGCAACCATGGCCGCGCAGGAGGCGCGCTGGCTCACCTTCCTCCTTGATGAGCTTGGAGCCCCCCAACGCTGTCCCACCATCTGGTGTGACAACGCTAGCACCATCCACCTCACCAAGGATGCTGTGTATCATGGGCGCTCCAAACACATTGAGCTCCGCTACTTTTTCATTCGTGAACTCGTTGAGGCCGGCCATCTTCGCCTTGGCAAAATCGACTCGGCGGCCAACCTCGCTGACATCTTCACCAAAGCCCTTCCCCAGGCGTCCCACTCCTTCCTTCTGCGCCTCCTTGGCCTCACCCCTCCTCCAGTTTTGGCGGCCTCCTGATTCCATTTTCTAGCCTTATGCCTGTTGGGGGGTTGTGTTGTAACTGTATCTTATACACAACATACATAGGCTAGAATGGTGTAGCTCTTTATGTTCTTGGGGGGTTGGGTGTACACTCCAACCACATTTTGTGGTTGGTCAAGGTTGGGTTTGGTCTTGGTCCTTGGTTGGCACTTGCTAACTTTTGGTCCTAAGGCCTACCAATCACAACCTAGCAACATTGTGGGGTTACCTACTCCACAAGGCATCTCCCCCATTGGCCAACTTAGTGGCCAATAGGGTTTGCTCCTTCTTCACCCCTCTCTTGCTTGCATGCTTGTACTATAGAGCCTCCATGGCTCATCATTCAACTACTCTTGAATTCTATCAGCCGCCCCCAAGTGTGAAGCCATATCCCTGAGAGCTGCGACGGTCGGGCTGTGCGTCGGCCCAAGATGAGTCGCTGAAGCCTTGAAGAATGAGCGGATTCACACCACCCAGAGTGAGGACATGGTCCTTCGTGCCTTGAAGGTAGCGAAGAACACGCATGGCCGCCTTCCAATGCTCTTCACCATGCCTGCCGGTGCCAACGAACTGCGCCAGAACACTGACTGGGTATGCAAGGTCGGGACGAGTGCAGACCATGGCGTACATCAGGGCCCCAACAAGTTCTGCGTAGGGATGAGGGGAGGTGACGGGAGTGGTGGGAGGGGCGAGCTGATGCCCGAATGCAAGTGGTGTGGGGATGGGTTTGCAGGTTGTCATGCCAAACCTCTCAAGAATCTTCTCGATGAAAAATGACTGAGAGAGGTTGATGGTCTTGGCAGTGAGGTCGCGAGTGATCTCCATGCCGAGGTAGCTGCGAACCTCCCCTAGGTCCTTGCAGGCAAGGCGTTTCTGCAGCGCATCCTTGACCTCCTGTAGGTCAGCAGTTGTGTCAGCGGCCAGCAGCATGTCGTCGACGTAGACGAGGATGAAGAAGGGTGATGGGGTGAGGCGCAGGAAGAGGCATGAGGCGGCACGGGAGGGGCGAAAGCCAAGTGCGCGAAGGGTGGAGGAGAGTTTGGCGTGCCATTCCCGAGGCGCTTGTTTGAGCCCGTAGACAGGACGTAGCAGCTTCCAAACAGTGGTGGGGTCGTGAGGAGCATGGAAGCCTTTGGGACGTTCCAGGAAAATGAGCTCATGAAGGTCGCCTTGCAGAAAGGCGGTGGTGACGTCCATGGAGTGAAGAAGCATCCCACGTCTGCCAACAAAGTCCAAAAACACGCGAATGACCGGTGGAGTGGCGGTGGGTGAGTAGGTCTCGAAGAAGTCTGAGCCATAGGTCTGTGTGAAGCCTTTTGCCACATATCGAGCCTTGTACACCGGAGCGTTGCCAGGGAGTAGTTTGACTCGAAAAAGCCACCTGCCTTGGACCACGTTGTGGTTTGAGGGACGAGGGACGTCGATAAACGAGCGGTTGCTGATGAAGGCATTGCTCTCCTTGACCATGGCCTCGATCCAGAGAGGTGCATCAAGGCAGGCAAGTGCTTGCTCATAGGTGGTGGGTTCGTAGATGGTGGGGGTGGTGGAGAAGAGAAGAACAGTGGTGCCAGCCATTGTGCGGACGACTGGGGCGACGGTTGGTGAGAGGAGGTGGAGGAACATTAGCTCATCATGAGAATCCTTTGTGAGGTCCGGAGTGAGAGGAGGAGGAAGAGGAGGCGGTGAAGTTGCAAGACAGCTGCGCTGGTGGGTCGGGCTGATGCGGGGACACAGGTGCACTGGTGCTCTGCTGCGCTGAGGGTCGGGGCGAGGAGACAGCTGCATTGCAGCTCGGCTTCGCTGGGTTGCCGTGAGGGGCAGAGAGACGGGAGCGCGACTGCTGAGAGAACCTGAGGTGCTGGTGCGGGGGGGAGGGGAGGTGCTATGGTGGCGAAGAAGGGGGATGGATGTGAGAGACTGGAGGGAGGGGGGGGTGGACCTGGGGGTACCAAGAATGGGGACCGTGGAGCGGGTGTGAGGGTAGTGGCGGAGTATGAGAGGGGGAGTGGGAAGTAGGGGCCGTGAGGACGGAGGTGGAGTGAGTGGGGGAGGGCGTGGGGAGGGGGGAGGCGGGGGATGTTCTGCACAAATGGACGGAGGGGAAGGAGGGGGGGGAGGGGCAGTGGGTGGGGAGGAAGGGGGAGGGGCAGCGGGTGGGGAAGGAGGGTGGACGGGGTCAAGGATGTCTCTTGACGAGGCGGGGGGAGAGGGGGGAGGGGGTGCAGGGGGGACAATGGTGGGGGGGGGGAGAAGGGAAGGGGAGGGGAGAGGGGGTGGGGGGGGAATGGTGTCAGTCCAGAGGAAGGGACGGGTGGTTAGAGGGAGGGGGTTAGGGGCTTTGGGGGAGGTGTAGTACGGGTGGGCTTCATCGAATTCCACATCCCGACTACGAATGAGGCGACCAGAGGGGGGATGGAGGAAGAGATAGTCCGGGGAGGAGGTGTTGTGACCAAGGAAAATGCAGGGGAGAGTGCGGGAGGCTAGCTTTCCAGCTTTGCGTGAGCGGTCGGCAGGGTGTATGAGAACATACGCCATGGAACCCCACACGCGCAGGGGGGTGATGTCGGGCTTTTTGGATGTCCAGAGTGCGGTGGGAGTGGTGGTGGGCCGGGAGGGATGAGGGTACAAGTTAGTGAGGATGGCAGCGTGGAGGATGGCATAGCCCCAGAGAGAGGGCGGGCAGGAGGCATGGACCATGAGGCACCGAGCAGTTTTGGTGACCTCACGGACCCTACTCTCCGCCACGCCATTCTGCTGAGGGGAATGAGGTAGGGTGTGGGTGTGAATGATACCACGAGTGGTGCAGTAGGATGAGAGCATGTTGTTAAGGAACTCACCACCGCCATCAGAGTGGAAGCGGGAGACAGGCCGTTTGAAATGGGTGCGTGCTTGTTCAGCCCAAGCAATAATAGCAGCCGGGGCCTCCGCCTTCGTGCGAAGGAGGGAGACGGAGGAGTAGCGGCTGTGGTCATCCACCAGGATGAGCAGGTATTTATGACCTTGTCTGGTGGGGGAAGGGTTGGGGCCCCAGAGGTCCATGTGGACAAGATCAAGAGGCTGGGGAGAAAAGGAGGGATGACTCTTGTGGGGGGCCTGTTTCAGTTTGCTTTCGACGCATACTGAGCAGGGAGGGGAGGGTGATGGGGGGAGAGGGGGAAGGGTGAGGGGGAGTCCGTCGAGGAGTTGGGTGGAGACGGTTTGACGGAGGGTGGCAAAGTTGGGATGACCCAACCTGTGGTGAAGGAGAACTGCGGGGTGGGTGAGGTCACGACAGTGACAGGAGGAGGAGGTGGGGGAGGGGGGGGGATGGGAGGGGAGGAGGGGGGAGGGGATGGGGATGGGAGGTGGGGAGGGAGGGGGGAGCGGAGGTGAGGGGAGGGGAAGGGGTGAGGTGGGGGCGATGAGGTGGTGAATGGAGGTGCGAGGGGTGCGGTACGTGTACAAATTTGTGCGAGGGCAGAGGGGAATGCGACAGATGAAGTGACCAGTGGTGGTTTGAAAGAGGTCGCAGTGGCGTGCATGACCGGGGAAGAGGGCGGTGATATTGAACCTGGTGAGGTCACACAGTGCTACCAGATTGTTGCGTAGGGAGGGGATGTATAGACCTGTGACTGTACCTGAGGGGAAGATGGGACAGGGGAGGGTGGAGGTGTGACTACTTGTGATGGTGAAGCTGGAGTCAGCTCCGTGGATAGTGGAGGGAGTGGGGAGGGGTACCAGTGTGCCTGCATCACGCAGAACAGTGTGTGTCGCGCCACTGTCAAGGATAAACTCAAGGCATGAAGAGGAGGAGGAAAAGGCGGAGTACTGGAAGAGAGACTCATTAATAGCATGTGCATACATAGAATCAGCAGGAGGAGTGCTAACATGTCCTATGAATCCAGCAGAGGGGAATGGAGTAAAGCCAGGAGGGTTGAAGGAGGAGGATGGTGATTCAGCAGGAGTGGCAGCAGGTCCAATAGGTGCATGACCATATCCAGGAGGTGGGTAAGGAGGGTAAGGCCAGCCAGCATAGGGTGGATGGTAGTGAGGGGGAGGGGCTTGAGGCGGAGGTGTGGATGGGGGAGGAGTGGGTGTGGTGGGAGTGGAGGGGAGAAGATGCTGAACTTGTTGAAGGATGTGAGATGGGAGATGCTGAGTGAGGACATTGTGAAGGTTGGGAGTAGAGGGCTGATATGCGGGGAGGGTGCGGATGTCATGAATGGAGGGGCGTGGGAAAACAGTGTTCCAGCGAGGTGGAGTGCCAACGTTACCACGTGCAAACCACTCGTCCGTGAGGGCTTTGAAGCACGTGTCCGTGGTGTGAGTGGTCTGAGAGCATGGCTGACCTTTGTTGGAGCCATAGCGGATGATGTACTGACACGGGGGGAGGGTGCCTGAAGGTGAGGGATATCCGCCGCGTCCGCCACGGCCACCACTGCGACCACCACCGCGTCCTCCGCCTCGGCCGCCACCACGTCCACCACCACCACCACCGGCGCCACCTGGGCCGCCACCTGTTCCGCTGTTGTGGTTGCCTGTGGTAGCTTTGCGGGTCTGGACAGCATTGACGGTGGCGGAGTCACGTTGAATGTCCGCTTCGCTGTCAAGGAGCCACTCGATGGTGTCAGCCACAGGAGGAGGATGACGGTAGCGAGAGGTGAAGGTGATGCGGTAGGTGTCATATGTGGGAGGGAGGCAGTCAAGGATGCGTGCAGTAAGAAGGGACTCAGAGATGACAATGCCGCGGTCATTGAGGCGTTGCGCAGTGTCAATGAGGCGACGGGTGTAGGCAGCAGCAGTGGGGGAGGAGTCAAGGGTGATGTCTTGGAATTTGCGGAAGAGGGCGAGGAGGGAGCGAAGGTCCTGACGATCGTACTGAGTAGAGAGGGTTTTCCAGAGTCCAGAGGAGGAGGTGGGACGAAGGTCGCGTTTGAGGTGGGAGGGGATGCAGGAGAAGATGATGGCGAGTGCACGACGATCAGCAATGCGCCATGCTGCAACATCCTTGTGGATCTTGCGAAGCTCCTCAGCATAGTCTTTTTCGTGTTGAGCGTAGTAGAGGAGGCGTGCAGTAGCATCAGCGTGTGCTGCTTCCGCAACACGGTGCGCCTCACGCTGGAGGGTGTAAGTGTCGCGAAGCCTGTTGTAAATGTTCAGGTTGGCCCCCCAGCGATCCGGGTTGTCATCATGAACTGGGGCACGCGGGGGGTCGGGAAGAGGCTCGGGTGGAGGAGGGGCATCAGGGGGAGGAGGTTCAAGGGGAGGGGGGAGTACAGGTGGGAGGCCATTAGGGTGCTCGAGGGCGACATCAAGAAGGCAATAATCTTGAATGATGACGGAGCCAAGGTGTGTGTGAAGCGTATCTTCAAACGACGCCCAGTTTACGGCCGTGGTGTCATGGAGAAGTTCGAGCTTGTCAATGGCTCCGAGCTCGATGGGAGTGGAGTCGTCCGCCATGAGGAGGAGGAGGGGAGGGGGTGACGACACCGGCTTGAGGGCGGGTGCGGTCAAAGAGGACGACACCACTTGGAAGGGTGGTGCGGTCACGTAACGTATGGTGGCGCCGGGTTACTCGCAGCTGCGTTTGTGTCGCCCGTGATTGCGCCTCGTGGCCCGCGGGTGCGCGTCCGTTCGCGGGTGCGCGTCCGTCCGCGGATGCGCCTCGTCGCTCGCGGGTGTGCGTCCGCCCACGGATGCGCCTCGTCGCCCGCGGGTGCGCGTCCGTCCGCGGATGCGCCTCGTCGCCCGCGGATGCGCTTCGTCGCCCGCGGGTGCGCGTCCGTCCGCGGATGCGCTTCGTCGCCCGCGGGTGCGCGTCTGTCCGCGGATGCGCCTCGTCGCCCGCGGGTGCGCGTCCGTCCGCGGATGCGCCTCGTCGCCCGCGGGTGCGCGTCCGTCCGCGGATGCGCCTCGTCGCCCGCGGGTGCGCGTCCGTCCGCTGATGCGCCTCGTCGCCCGTGGGTGCGCGTCCGTCCGCGGATGCGCCTCGTCGCCCGTAGGTGCGCGTCCGTCCGCGGATGCGCCTCGTCACCCGCGGTAGCGCGTCCGTCAGCGGAAATCCGCCGCGGTGGTCGCGTCCGCCCTCGTCGGCGGAATGCGCCGCGGTGGTCGCGTCCGCCCTCGTCGGCGGAATGCGCCGCGGTGGTCGCGTCCGCCCTGGTAGGCGGAATCCGCCGCGGTGGTTGCGTCCGCCCTCGTAGGCGGAATCCGCCGCGGTGGTCGCGTCCGCCCTCGTCGGCGGAATGCGCCGCGGTGGTCGCGTCCGCCCTTGTCGGCGGAATGCACCGCAGTGAGGGAGGAGAGGGGAGGGGGGAGGGAGCGGGCTGCCGATCGTAACTCGTGCGGGGGAGGCGCGGGAACGTGCGTGAGTGCAAGGGGGGAGGGGGGCCGTGAAGGCGTACTAGCGCAACTTAAGCGCGAGTGAGAGAGGGGGGGCGTGATACGGCACGCGTTAAGTGTGGTTCTTAGGATCGAGAGACGGTGTTAACCGTTGTAGCTCTGATTACCATGTTAAAAAAAACGAGAGGAGGAACCATTAGATTCATTAGGAGAGAGGGAGGTATACATAGTAGTGCTAGGGGGGAGGGGTTGGTTGGGAACCAAGCCAACATTATTGGCCCCCACCAATAAGTTGGGTTGAGGGATGATTGGGGGGACCAATAATGTTGACCAAGTTGGTTCAACATTATTGGGGGGACCAATAATTCCCAACCCAACCTTGGGGCCAAGGTTGGAGTTCCAACCCCCAACTAGGGTTAGCCCTAGTTCTACACCCAAACTAAGTTTGGGTGGCTATCTCTAGCCTAAGCTTGTAGGATTGATGTAGGTTATAATGAGGATGGTAATCTGACACCCTTGCCCACAAAATCCATCCTCGTTATAAGCTCGCTGCTCAACCAGAAAAGTCTCGGGGTCATACGGCTCCTCAAGGGAGAGCTCGTGGGTGATCTGATCCTCCTCCTCCACCAGATCTACCCTTTCAACGCAACACATCCTCGTTATAAGCTCACCAAGTGAAGTCTCGGGGTCATAAGGCTCCTCCAGCGACAGCTCGTGCGTGATCTGATCCTCCTCCTCCACCAGATCCAGCTCGGGGAGCACTGCTGGGAAGCCCTGAAGAAAGGGGGGACGGAACACGGTGGGTGGGGAATCACGATACGAGGTGAGCATGAAGCCAGGTGGGTGGAGTGATTGCCAGCTTGTGCGTGATTTGATTTGATCCTCCTCCACCAGATCCAGCTCGGGCAGCACTGCTGGGAAGCCCTGAGAGAGGGCAGGAGACACGGGGAGGAGAAGGGGCGGGGGGAGGTGTGCATGAGGCCAATGAAGTCAGTGAGCGAATAACAGCTTGTGGGTGTTCCAATCTGATCCCCCTCCTCCTCCTCCACCTCCTCCTCCAGATCGATCCCACGCTGCACGGCTGGGAAGCCGTGGAGAGGGTAAGAGACATGGGAGGGAGGGAGGGACGGGAAGAGGAGTGCATGAAGTCAGCAGGGGGAGAGATTGGGGTAAGAGACATGGGAGGCCGTGGAGAGGGTAAGAGACATGGGAGGCCGTGGAGAGGGTAAGAGACATGGGAGGGAGGGACGGGAAGACGTGTGCATGAAGTGAGCAGGGGAGAGATTGAGAGCTCGTGGTGATCCGACCCTCCTCCTCTATCAGGTCAAGCTCGGGGAGCCGCGCTGGGAAGCCCTGGGAGGGGGAGAGACGAGCATCGGGAGGGGGAGAGACGAGCATCGGGAGGGGGAGAGACGAGCATCGGGAGGGGGAGAGACGAGCATCGGGAGGGGGAGAGACGAGCATCGGGAGGGGTGTGAAGACGTGAGCATGAGGCCAGCAGGGTGCGCGTGTGATGTTGAGAGCTCGTGCAAGATCTGATCCCCCTCCCCCACCTGGGCAGGGCAGCACTGCGGGCAAGCCCTGAGAGAGGGAGATGGTTGGAACGGAGGCGAGTTGTGGTTGGAATGGAGGCGAGTTGTGGTTGGAATGGAGGCGAGTTGTGGTTGGAATGGAGGCGAGTTGTGGTTGGAATGGAGGCGAGTTGTGGTTGGAATGGAGGCGAGTTGTGGTTGGAATGGAGGCGAGTTGTGGTTGGAATGGAGGCGAGTTGTGGTTGGAATGGAGGCGAGTTGTGGTTGGAATGGAGGCGAGTTGTGGTTGGAATGGAGGCGAGTTGTGGTTGGAATGGAGGCGAGTTGTGGTTGGAATGGAGGCGAGTTGTGGTTAAGGCACCTCTTTAGCTACATCCGCAACAGCACCATGGGTGATCGATCCTCACCCCATCACACGCACCTCGAACTTGGCGTTGCGGATGGCAAAGAGACCTTCGATGGTGAGCTGAACTCGCACAGACACACACACCCATGCACACTTGCACGTGTACTGCCCATATGAATTATGTACTCCCCCACATCACGGGCACGCACCTCGAACTTGGCCTTGCGAATCGCGAAGAGCCCCTCAATGGTGAACTGCACACACAGCATCACCCGTGCCACCACCCATACACTCCCCATGCCCGCTCACCTCACCAACCACGCACCTCGAACTTGGCCTTGCGAATCGCGAAGAGCCCCTCGATGGTGAACTGCACGCGCTTGTCGATCTCCCCCTCGTGCAGGATGCCGCGGAAGCGCTCGAATATGCCTGCGAGGTGAGGGGTGGGAGGGGGAGGACGGGAAGGGAGGCAGGACGTGCAGCGATGCATCAGTGTGTGCACCACTCAGTCGGCAGGGAGCATGCATTCAGTAGCCCAAGGCATGCATTCAGGGAGCATGCATTCATTAGCCCAAGGATCAAGACTCATCGTGGAGTAGCTGCAAACCTGTAGCAAACACTTAAGCAATAGGATCAAGACTGTGAAACTTGCTGCGAGAAATTAGTGCAGCGATGCATCAGTGTGCGCACCACTCAGTTGGCAGGGAGCATGCATTCTCAGTTCGCATCCACATACACAGCACAGCACAACACAGCACAGCACAGCACAGCACAGGGGCATTGGGGCGCAGATGATCAGTTCCATGGCTCTTGTGCAGCGTATGTGGACGCAGGCGCGTAAAATTCAACACAAAAGGTGGTTGATGGAAGGGGGGAAGCGGGTGGTGGCATGGCAAATGTACGCTGGACAGAAGATTGATGGGATGGGAGGGCTGAAACGGCACGAGGACGGAGAGCAACTGAAAAAATACGCACATACCAAGCAACTTGGCACTCCCTGTGGAGGCCATGTCACTGGGCTCTCCCAAGATTAATCCCAAGCCTAAGGCGAGAGCACTCACTGTGGAGGCTGGCCGGAACTCGCTGGGTTCACCCCAGCCTAAGCCCAAGCCTAAGGCAAGAGCACTCACTGTGAAGGCCCTGGGGCGAGAGGTCCTGCAGCATGGCGCCACACTCCTTCACGAAGCTCACTGCCACCTGGTTGGGAGTGGTTGAGAGTGGTTGGAAGTGGTCGGGGGTGGAAAGGGTGAGCAGGGTGAGCAGCTCGGGCAGCACGATACACCTTTCCATGCTCACCAGATACCACCTCACCCCCCACGCCTCGCCTCCCCCAGCCCTCGCCTCCCCCAGCCCTCGCCTCTCCCAGCCCTCACCTCCGACACTGTCATCAGTGGGCGTCTCCAGCAACAGTGTGAGCAGCTCGAGCGCCTATATCCTCCTGCACCAGGCATAGAGCTCACCAGATACCACCCCCCCCAGCTCTCACCTCCACGCTGTCGTCAGTGGGCGTCTCCAGCAGCAGGATGGTGAACTACATCCTTCTTTACAGGCATGTGGTTCACCACGCTTGCAACGTTACTACATTCTCGAGCGGCACTATCCGCCTTTCCCTCTTCACCAGGTACCACCTCCCCCAGGCCTCACCTCCCCCACAACCCACCTCCCCCAGCCCAGCCCTCACCTCCACACTATCATCCGTGGGCGTCTCCAGCAGCAGTGTGAGCAGCTCGAGTGCCACGATCTCGTGAGCCACCTGCTGGTTGCAGAGGTGCGCGAGGAAGCGACATGCTGCCACCAGCACCGGCTGGAGGGGAGTGAGGGCGAAGGGGGGTTTATGATGGATATGAAGAGAGGCATGGGTGGGAGGGGAGGCAGCTCGGGCGCGACTATCTCGTGTGCCACCTGCTGATTCACCAGGTGGGTGAGGAAGCGACACGGCGCCACCAGCACCGGGCGGGTGCAGTAAAGAGGGAGGTAAATGAGGCAAAGGAGTCAAAGGAGGGAGGGAGGCAGCTCAAGCGCCACCATCTCATGAGCCACCCGCTGGTTGCGGAGATGGGCGAGGAAGCGACACGCCGCCACCAGCACCCGCTGCAGTGAGCGGGAGGTGGGTAGGGAAAGGGCGGTTGGAAATATAGTAAGGGGCAAGGAGGGGAGGCAGGTCGAGCGCGACTACCTCGTGGGCCACCTGTTGGTTGACCAGGTGGGCCAGGAAGCGACACGCCGCCACCAGCACCGGCTGCAGGAGATAGAGGGGGAGGAGTGGTGGTGGGGAGAGGGGGCGCGGGGATGGGAGATGGTTGAAGCGTCAAGGGGATGGAGAGACATTGAGAGGAGAGACTGGAAGTCACATGGAGTGCCACCTGCTGGTTACCACGTAACGCTGGGTTGTGAAGGAGGCGGGAGGCGACCAGGAACGTGAAGCATCGCCCATCACAGATGTGTGACCGTCACGTGCCCCATCTCCCCTCACCAGCCCGCGCAACAAGCTCCCTGCCTACAGGACAAGCAGGCCACCCTTTTTCCCATTCACCCTCCACCTTGTCGTTGCGTCGGAACGCCCGCCTGAACTGCAGAATAATCCTCTTCAGCATCAGCTCCCCTAGCTCTGGGAACTTCGTGCTCACCACCGCAACTAGCCTACCACCGTGTCCACCGTTTCCCCTCACCTACTCCCTTCCCCTCCCTCCCTTCCCTCCCCTCTCACCTTGTCGTTGCGTCAAAACGCCCGCCTCAACTGCAGAATGATCCTCTTCAGAAGCAGGTCGCCCAACTTGGGGAACTTGGTATTCACCACGTCCACCAGCACCCGAGCAACAAGTTCCCAGCGAACAGGGGGAGGAGACTAGACCACCTTTTTCCCTTCACCCCTCACCTTGTCATTGCGCCGGAAGGCCCTCCTGAACTGCAGGATGATCCTCTTGAGCAGCAGCTCGCCCAGCTCGGGGAACTTGGTATTCACCACCGCCACCAGCGCCGCAAACACGTGAGTGAACGTGGGGCTGGCCATCTGCCACTTGATGCACGCGCGGCACAGCAGCCCCCTGCCGCGCACCAGGTTCTCCGCAAAGAGCTCGGGAATGATGTTCTTGATGTTGCTGGCGTTGACTTTGTTGACCAGCCCGTTGATGGACTTGCGCAGCGCGTCCCACGTGAGGCGCTGGTACTCCGCGCTGCTGCGGTCGTTCACCTCCTGCAGCATGCGCGCCAGCTTGAACGGCGGGATGTACGCGCCTCCCGTGCGCCCTGTGTCCCGCGCTGCTGCTGCCTTGCCTGCTGCCGGACCTGCGCCTGGGCCTGCTGCTCCGCCAGCAGCGGCAGCAGCGGCGGGGGCAGGAGTGGCGGCAGCATCAGCATTGGGTGCGCGCACGGGAGCCCCCCGCCCGTCGCCCCGCCTCTCCTCTCCCTCCCACTCGCCCCTCCCCCTCTCTCGCCGCCCCTCCTCTCGCCTGCCTTCCTCATGCCTCCTGTGCCTATCTTCCCTTCCTCTCCCCCTTACCCCCCCCCCCCTCCCTCTCTCGCTCCCTCTCCCACTCGCCGCTGCTCTCACTCCCATCCGAATCGGACCCTCCCCGCCTGTGCCGGCCCGACCTGCCCCTCCCCCTCCTGCCGTCTCGCTCCCTCTCCCTCTCCATCTCGCCATCCCATCGCCTATCCCTGCCACCATCATCCTCTCTCTCCCTTCGCCTCCCATCCACGTCATCCCTTCCTCGTCCCCTCTCGCTCTCCCTGCCCCTCCCGCCGTCCCTGACCCTAATCACATCTCGCTCGCGCTCACCTTCCCCCAAGCCATCCCTCGCCCTCATCTGATCTCTCTCCCTCCTCCCCTCACCCTTATCACGCTCCTCCCGCTCCTCGCTCTCCGCGCGACCCCCGCGCCTCCCCTCCTCCCCGCGCTTCTCCTTCCGCCCAACCCGCACCCTCTCCATCAGAAAATTGTCGAACTGCCTAAAACTGGGTGATGAGTACTTAGCTTTTTTTTAGGGTTGCCGAGTGCCCTGTAATTGGCCGTTTACTCTAAGGGAAGGGTTGTGAGTTCAGACGCGGGGGTAAACTGGCGGTTGTTGTCTGTTGTGGCTGATTTTCGTGATTATCTCGGATCGCGACTTTCAGGGGAAAACGAGCAGGTTTTAGGCTGGAAGAACATGGCAGTTTACTGGCGGGAACCTGACGATGCCTGACGGGGAGGCTCGATCAGGTAGAGAGCTGCAGAATGCTGCAGATTACGCCAGACTGCACGGGTCAATCTCGATCTTCATGTGCAAACAACTTTGCTTTGCCACGTCATCTGATGGCGTTTGTTCATCTGGTTCTAGTTTCGCGATATCATGTGAATCCACTCTAAGAATTGAAAAGGTTTTATTTACAATATGTTTTTAAATACGATTTGTAATGTATGTGAACCTTTTTGGTTGGAAGAGAAACCATAATATATTAGGACAGCAAAACTACACGCATTGTAGGGCAGGGACAAATGCGATCAGCTCCGTTTTTATCAATTACAGAAACAACTAAGTTATTCAGAGAAGGATAAATTCACATTTCGCCGCCGCATCATGCCAAATTCAGGTATTCCGATCAATTACCTTGCCATATGAACTTGTTTGAGCTCGTTCGCACAACTACGCAGCACGTGACGCTTGTTTGTGTGTTTGATAGTTTGAAACTGCGCGAGGATAGGCCAGTACGCAACATGTCACAGTTTCATCATCTGGTTGTCCTTTTTAGCACCATTTCTCCACACATTCGGGTATTTCAATCAATTACTTTGCCATAGGAACTGGTTTTAGTTCATTCGCACAACTACGCAGCACGTGACACTTGTTTGTGTGTTTTATGGCCTGAAATTGTGCAAGGATATGCGAGTACGCAACATATCACAGTTTTATCATCTGGCTGCCATGTTTAGCACCATTTCCCCACACATTCAGGTAGTTTAATCAATTACCTTGCCGTAGGAACTGGTTTGAGTTAATTCGCACAACTACGCAGCACGTGACGCTTGTTTGTGCGTTCGATGGCCTGAAACTGGGTTTAGGGTAGGCCAGTACGCAACATGTCACCGTTTCATCGTCTGGCTGTCTTTTTTAGCACCATTTCTTAACACATTCAGGTAGTTCATTAAATTACCTTGCCATAGGAACTGGTTTGAGTTAATTTGCACAACTACGCAACACGTGACGTTTGTTTGTGCGCTTGCTGGCCTGAATCTGTGCAAGGATAGGCCTGTGCGCAACATGTCAGCTCGCGAACGTCACGATGCATTTTTTAGCACTATTGCTTCACACTGTTCCCTACTGCATCCTATTACCTAGCCATAGGAACTGGTTTGACCTCATTCACACAACTACGCAGCACGTGGCGCATGTTTGTGCGTTTGCTGGCTTGAATCTGTGCAAGGATAGGCCTGTGGGCAACATGTCAGCTCGCCAACGTCTGGATGCTTTTTTTAGCACTATTTCTTCACACAGTTCTCTACTACATCCTATTTTCTAGCCATAGGAACTGGTTTGACATCGTTCGCACAACTACGCAGCACGTAGCGCATGTTTGTGCGTTTGCTGGCTTGAATCTGTTCAAGGATAGGCCTGTGCGCAACATGTCAGCTCGCCAACGTCTGGATGCCTTTTTTTGTCAGTAGAGCTACACTGTGAGATCCCCGATCGATCCTAGGGGGGGTTACAGGCGCGTTTGCCTGGGCGGTTATGGGCGCACTGACCCGCTACTGAAACAAGCCCTTTTATCCCAATGGTCTAGTGGTTGGGATTCTGACATGGTATCAGAGCGGTCTCGGGTTCGAATCCCGGTGTATGCACATGTTGGCCGTTGCCACTGTGCTCAGTCCTGGGCCTCCCAGTGTGGGGGGGTGTCAGTAGAGCTACACTGTGAGATCCCCGATCGATCCTAGGGGGGGTTACAGGCGCGTTTGCCTGGGGGGTTATGGGCGCACTGACCCGCTACTAAAACAAGCCCTTTTATCCCAATGGTCTAGTGGTTGGGATTCTGACATTTTTAGCACTATTTCTTCATATGCTTCTCTACTACATCATATTCCCTAGCCATAGGAACTATTTTGACCTCGTTCGCACAACTACGCAGCACGTGGCGCATGTTTGTGCGTTTGCTGGCTTGAATCTGTGCAAGGATGGGCCTGTGCGCAACATGTAAGCTCGCCAACGTCGGGATGCCTTTTTTAGCACTATTTCTTCACACGCTTCCATACTACATCCTATTCCCTAGCCATAGGAACTGGTTTGACCTCGTTCGCACAACTACTCAACACGTGGCGCATGTTTGTGCGCTTGCTGGCTTGAATCTGTGCAAGGATAGGCCTGTGCGCAACATGCTACTGTTTCAACGTCTGGGTGTTGTTTTTTGTCAAACATTATATGTGGTGTGCTTGTTTAGGCTACAGTGGGTTAGCCTATAGGGGGTACACAATTCTAGGGTTAGGTACTTGTACTGCTTTCACTGTTAGTTCAATCATTCTCGTTCCATTCTAAGATTCTAACATGGTATCACGAGCCTAGGTTGCTACCTAGGACCGCTTTCTACAATGGGCCCACTATTCCGCTAGAAGCGCCCTCGTGCGCCCCACCCTACGTGCGCCCTCGTGCGCCCCACCCTACGTGCGCCCTCGTGCGCCCTTCACTCCTAGTGTGCCTTCGTGCGCCTTCGTGCGCCCTCGTGCGCCCTCGTGCGCCTTCGTGCGCCCTCGTGCGCCCTCGAGCCACCCCTGCAGGTCCGTCAGGCCCCCGAGCCGCCTCTGCACACCCATCGGGCCCCCCCCGAGCCGCCTCTGCATGCCCGTCATGCCCGAGAGCCGCCCCTGCAGACTCGTCAGGCCCGCGTGCAGCCTCTGCCCAACCGCGCGCCGCCCCTGCAGGCTCTAGCCGCCCGCCGCGTCGCCTTGCCCACGACGTCGCCCCTGCCCGCGGCGTCGCCTACCCGCGGCGTCGTTGCCTACCCGCGGCGTCGTCCCCTGCCCGCGACGTCGCCCCTGCCCGCGGCGTCGCCTACCCGCGGCGTCGTCGCCTACCCGCTGCGTCGTCCCCTGCCCGCGACGTCGCCCCTGCCCGCGGCGTCGTCGCCTGCCTGCGGCGTCGTCGCCTACCCGCGGCGTCGTCCCCTGCCCGCGACGTCGCCCCTGCCCGCGACGTCGCCTACCCGCGGCATCGTCGCCTGCCAGCGACGTCGCCCCTGCCCGCGGCGTCGTCGCTTGCCCGCGGCGTCGTCGCCTACCCGCGGCGTCGCCACCTGCTCGCGGCGTCGCCCTACTCGCGGCGTCGCCACCTGCCCGCCGCGTCGCCCTGCCCACGGCGTCGCCCTGCCCGCCGCGTCGCCCTGCACGCCGCGTCGCCCTGACCTAATCCGCCCCTCGCCCTTGAAGCAGTCGCCACTGCAGGAGCCGCCCCTGGAGCCGCCCGCCACTACAGCAGCAGCCCCTGGAGCCGCCCGCCACTGCAGCAGCAGCCCCTGGAGCCGCCCGCCACTACAGCAGCCGCCCCTGGAGCCGCCCGCCGCTGCAGCAACCGCCCCTGGAGCAGCCCGCCACTGCAGCAGCCGCCCCTGGAGCCGACCGCCACTGCACCAGCAGCCCCTGGAGCCGCCTGCCACTACAGCAGCCGCCCCTGGAGCCGCCCGCCACTGCAGCAGCAGCCCCTGGAGCCGCCCGCCACTGCAGCAGCAGCCCCTGGAGCCGCTCGCCCTGCAGCAGCTGCCGCGGAGCTCCCTGCTGCGGCCCGGCCCCACCCTGCAGTTGTAGCGGCCCCGTTGTCGCCACCGCCTTGCGCCTGCCGCGCCGACCAATGGTGAGCATTGCCCTGCCAGCACTGCTACTGCTGCTACTGCATTTTCTACTCCCATTGCTCCTGCTCCTACTGTTACTGCTGTTACTGCTGCTACTGCTACTACTGCTGCTCCTGGCGTGGCCAGATGCAGCTTTAGGGCCGTGCGCGTGAGTCCCTCACGCCCCAGCAGCTTCGTGAGTGGTACGCTAGTTGGGGCTGTCGGGGTGGCCGTAGTGGTAGTCGCTCTGGAGTGGGTCGGTCGGGAACTTCTAGTAGTGGATAGGTGCAGCTGCCGTGTTCTCTTTCGCCCCAGCAGCTTCGTGCGTGGTACGCCAGTTGGGGCTGTCGGGGTAGCCGTCGTGGTAGTCGCTCTGGGGTGGGTCGGTCGAGAGCTTCTGGTAGTGGACAGGTGCAGCTGCCGTGTCCTCTTTCACCCGAGCAGCTTCGTGAGTGGTACGCCAGTTGGGGCTGTCGGGGTGGCAGTAGTGGTAGTCGCTCTGGAGTGGGTCGGTCGGGAGCTTCTGGTGATGGACAGGTGCAGCTGCCGTGTCCTGTGAGTGAGGCTGCCGCTCTAGGTGCTACTGCGGCTACTACCCCAGGTGCTGGTGAGGCTGCTGCTCTAGGTGCTAGTGAGTCTGCGCCCCCTGGTACTGAGTCGACTGAGGCACTGCACACCTTCACTCTGGACTCAGGTGCTTCTCGCTGTTTCTTTCGTGACCGCACTGCCCTTGAGCCGCTTGCTCGGCCAGTTGTTGTCTCCCTCGCTGACCCCTCTGGGGGTCCGGTCATTGCGACCTCCTCCACTGTCCTTCCTTGTCCTGCGGTCCCGTCGGGCACATTGTCAGGTCTCCACCTCCCCTCGTTCTCTACGAACTTGGTGGCGGGTTGTGCGCTCCAGGACAAAGGTGTTCACCAGTTCACCCCTGCCTACGAGCGCGTGACACACTGCACGTGTGCTCGGACGGGCCGTCACCTGGCTACCTTCACGCGGCAGCCGGGGTCGGACCTGTACACACTGACCACTGAGTCCCCTCAGGTCGCTGCGTCTGCGTCAGGTCAGCTGTCGGCCCCCTGCTCGTGTCACTCTCTAGCGCACGAGACCGTCCTCTGGCACCACCGACTTGGTCACCCGTCTGTGC